AAAAGTCAAACACCTTAGAGAGGGGGCAAGAGGAAAACAGAGAGATTCCATGAACATGAGCCCAGCTGGGAGGCCAGTGAATCTGGCAGGAAGGCCCCGGCAACCATGGCTGAACCAAGGGAAAATTGAGAAGACGACGCTGTTTCTACTCCCTTCTCCACTTCTGTATTTCCAGTCCCTGCCACCACCTCCTCCAGAATCCCAGCACAGTTTATCCTCAAAATCTATCCTCACGTGGTCTCTTCAGCTTGAATTGTAGCTGAGAGGGTTGCTCTGGGGAATTCGTGTTACCAGTGATAAGCAAAAGGGCTGAGGTTGTAAGGGTGGAATTTCAAACTCATACTCTTAAATGTAGGATGTTTTGGCTTGGAAAGAGGTTTAGATTTCTGGATCAGTGCAAGCGCCTTCAGGCTATCAAATAAATTGAGGGTTAATTATAGAAATTATTGCCAGGCACTGTGCTAGGTGCCAGTATTAATTAAAATGAACCACAAAGTCCCTGAGGATGGGTAGCTTTAAGCGTGTGGAACAGACAGACACTTACACAAATGGTTTCAATTCAAGGGCATGTAAAAGAGAGGGGGGTGGGGGGTGGGGAGAGATCGTAAGAAGTTTTCTGGAAAAGGCCATAGCTAAACAGAGCTGGATGAAGAGTGAGGGCCAGTGAAGAAGGTTAGAGCTGGATGGAACAGCATCAGCTATTCAGGGAACGGCCGACACTTGAACTTGCCAGAACCTAACGGATGCTAGGAATGTGGGAGATTGAGGAGGGCCCTGAATGCTGTGCTTAGGAGCTTGGACTTTCCCAAGTCAGTCACTTTCGGGTGTGAGGGATGAAGGAGAGGAGCAGGTGAGGTCCATTTTCAGCTTCCTGGCTTGGGGAGCTCAGTGGTTGGCCCCACCATTCGCTAAAAAGGGAACTAGGTGAGGAGCAGTCTGTTGTGGGGAAGGAGAAAGTGAGATCCTCGTGGGACAGCAAAGTGGATATACCCAGGGGAAATTAAGGAGTTGTAAGCTTAGGGGGAGAGGCCTTGGCTGGAGAGGAGAGACAGATGAAGATTAGGGGGGTTGTTTAGTATCAAAGCTGGCTTGTGGCGGGACCCGGACGAGGGAAGGAGCGAAGGTCAGGGTTGAGAGCTCGGGCTCTGAAATCTGCCTGTCTAGTTTAAATCCCTCTTCTACTGCTTGATGTAGGACTTAGGACAGGTTAAACAATCTGAGCTTCAGTGGCCTCATTTATAAAATGGGGTGTATGGTTTCCTCCTGCTCCTGTAACCCGTTACCACCGATTTAACGGCTTAAAACAACACAAATTTATTATTTTACACTTCTGGACATCTGTAGTGTGAAAATAGGTATTAGAGGGCTAAAATCAAGGGTCGGCAGGGCTCTTCCTTCTGGAGGGTCTAGGAGAGAGTCTGTTCTTTGCCTTTGGCAGCTTTTTAAAAAAGTTTAATTACTTATTTTGAGAGAGAGAAAGGGAGAGAGGGCAGGAGACAGACAGAATCCCAAGCAGGCCCCGAGCCATCAGTACAGAGTCCCTTACAGGGCTCAAATCCACAAGCTTTTGAGGTCATGACCTGAGCTGAAGTCAGACACTTAACCAACTGAGCCACCCAGGTGCCCCTGCTTTCTGCAGCTTCTTTTTCCTTTTTAATGTTTTTATTTATTTTTGAGAGAGAGAGAGAGAGAGAAAGAGCAAGCGGGCGGGAGAGGGGCAGAAAGATGGAGGAAGACAGAGAATCTGAAGCAAGCTCCAGGCTCTGAGCTGTCAGCACAGAGCCCGTCGCAAAGGCTTGAGCTCACGAGCCGCGAGATCATGACCTGAGCTGGATGTCGACTCCACCAACTGAGCCACCCGGGCACCCCCGCTTTCTGCAGCTTTTAAAGGCTCCCGCACTCGTGGCTCATGACCGCCTTTCAGCTGTGACATCACGCCTGCCTCTGCTTCCCTCCCATCTTCTCTGACATTCCTGCCTCTTTCCCATTGAAGGATACTTATGGTTACATTGGGCCCACCTGGTTAATCCAGGATACTCTCATCTCAAGACCTTTACCTGCATCTGCAAAATCCCCTTTGCTGTGTAAGGTAGTATCTTAACAGGTTCTGGGGATTCGAACACAGGCATCTTTGAAGGAACACTTATTATGCCTACCACACGTGGCTAACAACTGCTCCATACTCTTCTAATGAAGGCTAAATGATATTAGGTAAGGCGCTTGGCACAGAGGAGGTACCATGTTCTTTCATTCCATACATTTTATTACAGGGAATAAGACTGCAAAAAAGCTTGCCCTTTCAAGAAGCTCACATTCTTGATGCGTGACTTAGAAGATAAACAAGTAGAATATATAGGAATAAGACAGGTGGTAAGAAGGTCTGTGGGCTAAAAGGCTGGGGCAGGGTCTGTTTTACAAAGGGTGGACAAGAAGGGCCTCACTGATAAATTTGAGCACAGACCTAAGCAACTGAAAGAGTGAGCCACGAAGATACCTGCGGGAGGAACATGCTTGGAGTATTCAAAGAATGGGGAGGCCAGGTGGACCTGAGGTTGCAGGGCCTTCGAGGGTCATTTGGCTTTTACACCGAAATGTGAAGCCGTGAGGAAGCCACCTCTTATGAGCAAGGAGTGACATGAATTAAAGTATGATTGTAAAAAGATACACATATTTAATGTATACCATTTGATGAGCTCCAGGATAAGTATATACTCATTAAACCAAAACCACTACCAAAGCCCTAAACATATCCATCACCTCCCAGAGATTTCTCCTGCCCCTTCTATTATTGTTTGTGTGTGCGTGCGGTAAGAACATTTAACATAGGATCTACTCTCTTAGCAAATTTTAAGTATGTGTATAATGCGGTAACTTAGCTATAGGCACTGTAGCTTATTTCATTTTAACCATTGTGCTGAGTGAAGAATCTAGAAGACAAAGGGGGAAGCAAGGAGATCCTTTAGGAGACCATTACAATCATCTAAAGTGAGAAATAATGGTAGCTTGGTGGTGATGGGGGGGGTGCTATCTACTCATTTCTGATTAGAGTTGGGTACATTTTAAAGGCATAACCAATAGGATTTACTGATAGGATTGGATAGAAAATGGGAGAGAAGAGTCAAGAATGACCCGACCCCAAGGTATTCTGGAAAAGTGAAATTGGCCTGTGTTCAGCAGGGATGTGCATGGAAGGGTATCTTGGAAGAGAAATTGGGAGTTTGTTCTGGTCACACTGAGCTCGCTGTGCCTGTCAGATGTCCAAGTGGAGACCAGACCGGGCAGTTCGCATCTGAGTTCCCAAGACAGGGCTGGAGGGAGACAGGCGATAGAGAGAGGGAGGAGCCTTCAGAGGTGTTCACCGCAGGGGGCTCCAATTAGAGAGTGAGAAGGAGCAGCGAGGAGGGAGGAGGAAGAAGAACGAGTGATGTGTGGGCAGCTGAGGGAAGAAAGGTTTACGGAAAGAGGCATGGTGACAGTTCCCGATGGATATTGCGACGCTCCCCGCTGTTATCTCCCAATTCAGGGGAAGTCTTCGGTTTCTAGAAATCTCTGAAATGAGTTTGAGGCATGCTTTCTAACGGCACCTGTGTCATCCAATGAAGTTCTGCTGCAGGGCGCAGGGCGGCGGGCCGCCAGACACGCCGCCTGAAGGGAGGCCTGGAGAAGCATCGGAGGTGCACCAGCGTAAACAGTTCTGTCACTGGCCCTGTCAATGCCCTCGCCAGAAGCCCAGCTGCCCTCCTGGAGTGAGCCTGCTGAGGGACGGCTGCGGATGCTGTAAAGTCTGTGCCAGACAAGCAGGGGACATGTGCAACGAGGCCGACCTCTGCGACCCGCACAAAGGGCTGTACTGTGACTACTCGGCCGACGGGCCTAGGTACGAGACCGGAGTGTGTGCGTGTAAGTGTCTTCTTCGGGACCTGCCGGGAGAGGTTGAGCCCAGACAGCATTCCCCCCTCCCTGTAATTGTTGATTGGAATAGTCAGCTTAGTTTGGCTAAGTTTGAGGTGGGTTTGGTTTTCACACCCTGGTGGGACTGGCTTTGTCATATTGGACACCATGTGTTCAGAAACCTGTTCTTGTTAATTGCACTGATGTGATCGTGTAGTGATTCTCAGGTAATTGCCTTTAGTGATAAAAATAGGGGAAACTAGGTGAATAGAGCCTGACTTCTTAAAGTGCCACGAAATGACAGCTTTTGTCACTGTGGTCAAAAGCTCAGTCTGGATTCACCCTTTTCCACAACTTAAAAATAATCTTGCTTAAAATGTAAGGATGTATATCCTGCTTTAATCTTAGCCTTTCCAAATGATCATCAAGTTACTGTACTTTTAAATGGAAGCAGATTTGTAAAAAGGAAGGTAGCGGGACCCCAAATCACAACCTGACCCTCAGATTTATGGATTTTAACTCTGGAGACTGATGGAGACCATCTAAACCTACACCTTGACAATAACTCAGGATCCTGATTTAGCTAGGATTAAAAACTAAGATTTCTAGGGCACCTGGGGTGCTTTGTTGGTTAAGCATCCGACTTCAGCTCCGGTCATGATCTCATGGTCCGTGGGTTTGAGCCCCACATCAGTCTCTGTGTTGACAGCTCAGAACATGGAGCCTGCTTTGGATTCTGTGTCTCTCTTTCTCTCTGCCCTTCTCCCGCTCATGCTCTGTCTCTCAAAAATGAATAAACATTAAACAATTAAAAAAAAAAAAAAACCTAAGATTTCTAAGGGAAGAGAGATACCCATGTTAGCTTCACATTTTAGTCAGTCTACAGAAAAGACTGTGTGGGCAGGCAAATTACTATCGGGTTTTGTTGCGAGCCTGGAATACGAGCACATCTTTGGAGTATGACTGAGTGTGTAGAGCCATTCAAGTTTGATGGCCTGATGCCCCTGTCAGCACTAAACTACATTGGTTAAGAATGCAGGCACCGGGTTCAAATTCTGGACTTTATATGCTGAGCGACCTTGAGGTCACATTGCTTAACCTCTCTGTGCCTCAGTTACGTCATACATACTTCCTCTTACAGAAGTGCTAGGAGGAACACATGAAATAATGACACAAAACCCAAAGCACCTAGCAGAATATCTGGCAGGCAGTAGACTCTTAGACATGTTAGCTATTATTTGTGGAAATTCAACAGGTCAACAGACCTATCAGACTCTGGCATCAGGATCCTCCTTTCTCCCAAATGGTGCTGGGCAAATTATTTCATTACCCTAAAAAGCACTCAGTGAACCACCACTAATGAGCCAGGCACTGTGCCCAAAGAAAACAAGAAAAGATAGAGGCGCTGCCCTCGCAGAGTCAAACCTTATTGTGTCAGACAGAGCTTTCCACAAGTGATTTCACATAGAATGTGATGAGTATTTTAACAGAGCATAGCCATGAGGGTGGGGGTGGAGATGACCTCAAATGGGTCACAAACTATGGCCCAGGGGCCAAATCTGGCCCAGAGCCTGTTTTTGTAAGTCACATTTTATTGGAACACAGCCACACTATTCAGTTCTGTAGCCTGTGGCTGCTGTATGATAGCAGAGCCCAGTAGTTGTGACAAAAACCAATGGTCTATAAATGCTAAGATATTTACAGGACATTTGCCGATCCACGATACAGAACAATGATTTTTAAACTTTGCTCTGAGGACCCCTTTAGTCTCAGAAATGAATGAATATCCAAAGAGCTTTTGTTTATGTGTTATCTCTATTGGTATTTAGATGGATTAGAAACTTAAAAATATTACTGATCCATTTAAAAACAGAAACCCCATTGCAACTTGGTAGGAATAATATATTTATGAAAATATTTTATTTTCTAAAACAAAGAAAAAATTAGTGAGAAGAATGGAGCTGTTTTACATTTGTGTACCTCTCTAATGTCCAGCTGAACAGAAGATAGCTAGATTTCCCCATCTGCTTCTGTTTTCAATCTATTGCTGTATGTTATTTTTGCTGAAATATATGAAGGAAATCCAGTCTTACATAGGTAGGTCATTGGAAAAGACAGGAATACTTTAACAGGATTTTCAGATAATTGTGAATATTCTTTTTGATATTAAAACTTGAGAAGTGGTACTTTTTTATTAAAAAAAATTTTTTTTTTAATGTTTATTTATTTCTGAGACAGAGAGCAGACAGATCATGAGCAGGGAGGCAGAGAGAGAGAGAGGGAGACACAGAATCCGAAGCAGGCTCCAGGCTCTGAGCTGTCAGCACAGAGCACGGGGCTCAACTCACAAACTGGAAAGACCAACCGCCAGGTTGCTCAACTGACTGAGCCTCATGTGTGCCCCTCAGTACTTTCTTGAAAATTTAGGGGGCTAGTACTTCATGAATTCGAAACCTGACTATCAATGAACTTGGCAGAGTCTGTGACATCAAAATTCATTAGTCTATCCAAGACCTAGTTGGAATGGGTCTTTTACTCGTGTATAATTTTGTAACACCATGCATTGGTTATTTGGAAAATACTAGTTTGGGAAAAGGTGATGTAGATGTTCCAAATATTGATACACTTTATACAAGATTAAAAAAACACATTAACCAATACCAATCTAATCATAAAAGTCTGCATATTGTGTAGCTGTAGAGATCTTGGTGGTGGATATAGATTTTCCAAACTTCTAATTTTTGCTTGAAAGCCTGAATTCTGTCATTGGCCAGAAAAGTGTTTCCCTTGAAGTGACACGCTCACCGTTGATTTTCAAGAAAATGTCTGCCAAATACCTGAGTAATCATGGTTTATCTGTCAGTCATCTCTTTAGGTGAAATCCTCACTCAAAAAGTGGTTTCGTTCAGCCCCAAACTCAAACAATAGAATAGGTGCTTCTCAAGACGATACAATATCTACAGAAATGCTCTCTGTAACACTGCCTACTCTGTCACACAGGATATTAAAATGACATATATTTGGTGATTAAGATTTAGTAAAATTGGTAATTTCTACTGTTATTAGGACATTATTGAATAAAACTAGATTTTCTTTTTTCGAAAGCACATTTATGTACAAGTGCATTGGCAGGGAAAAAGACAGTACTAGCCCGTACGGTTTGATTCACGCTAAGGCTCCAGCAGTAGTTTCAGCCATCATTGCTCTTACACCCTCAGTGCAAATACCAACATGGTGAAAAAAGTCAGGCACATCTCAGTGTTCTGAAAGGGTTTTGACCTTGTGGATTCTCTGAAAGGGCCTCAGGTACCGCCAAAAGGTGCGAGGGGTCACACTTTTGAGAACCGTTGATCCAGGTCAAGAATACCTCTCAGAGGAGTGAAAGTTTCCTCCAATTCTCTTAACAACAGCAAAATCAGTTGCTGTGCAGTACTGTAGTTAAACAAATTATGGTTTCTTCAGCCATTCACGTATCCTCATTTCCTACAAACACATCCTTGCCTATTGTTGGACATCTGGGAAACCTCAGTCTTCCCAGCCACCAATCCATCTCTCAGACTTACAATCAGTGTCTCATTGCGATATTCCTACTGATCCTGAATAGGGCCTGTACTTGGTCTTGATTCTGAAAGTGACTGACTGGAGCAGATCGCCTACAATATAATGGAAATGTCTCATTTCCAGCTTTTACACATGTTCTGAGAAAGTCCCAGATGGGGCCTAAGAAGCTGAGAACACTACTTCATAAAGGAGATAGCTATTACCCCTGTGATTCATAATGGGAGGTCTGGATTATCAGTTATGGCTTCTTTGGTGATTCTGCTCTTCTCTCTTTTCAGATCTTATAGCTGTGGGATGTGAGTTCAACAGGGTACATTATCATAACGGCCAAGTCTTTCAACCCAATCCCCTGTTCAGCTGTCTCTGTGTGAGTGGGGCCATTGGATGCACACCTCTGTTCATACCAAAGCCGGCTGACGGTCACTGCTCTGGGGCTAAAGGTAGAAAGAAGTCTGATCAATCAAACTGTGGCCTGGGACCGTTCCAACAACAGCTTTCAACAAGCTACAAAACAATGCCAGGTGCTTAAAGGCATATTTAGTTCTCATGTATGGCTTCCTGTGATCTTCTTTCATGTTTCTTTTATGTACCACAGGTACTCAGTAAGTACTTATGGCTTAGTGGTCAGTCTGAGAGTTAGGTTGGGTGTGCTATCTTACTCAGTCTCTGCCTCAGATAGGTAGTTTTCTAAGTATCCCTAAAGGAAACTTTATAATGTTTTAGATTTTTCCAGTAAAATATTCCAGTTTTTAAAAGCTCTGCTCAGGTCAGAAAAACTCTTCTATGCCCCTGGCTCATTCCACTCAACCTCTTCTAAGGAAAACTGACCAAATATTGTTCACATGCATCCTGAGAAACTTTTACTTGTAGTGTTATATTATGGGCAAGACGTGTGACCCATCCAGTTCCAAAAATTTTCAAAGGCAACTCCTGTGTATGACAAAAGCAGAAATGGAAGCCTGCTTATTAAAAACATTTGAGAATATGTTTTGAATTTGTAAATATTGTTTCTAAACATAGGAAACTGCTGACATACGATTATTCTTTCATTCGGCCTGAAAATGCAGCTCTATAGTTACCAACCTCTCTCTAAATAAACACACATACAGGTATTTTAAAGTAGGGTCCCCAGCTATGTATGTAGTCTGAAACCCATAATGAGACTCTTTCTCACTCATCGTGAGCACTTAGCTATTTACAGTTAGTGTCCGTATATTCATAAATACTGCATACTGGTCTGCTTTAAGTTAACATCTTGTTTAAATGCCAGGGCATTTTGGGGACAGGAGTTTCAAAAACACCCACAAATGAAGCACAGATGAGGAAGGACTCAAAAGGGTCAGTATTCATGCCTGGTTATTATTCACAGCTCTGTGTTTTTACCCAGAAATCAAGAATGCCTTTTTATTGAAATCTGGAGCTTAGTAAATGAAAGGTGCCATGGAAATACAGGAGGAATATTTATATATGCTAAAAACTTCTAAGTTCAGTTACATTATGTGGATATTTAACAAAAGCAACTATAATCAAGCAATGAATTTTAGATATTTAAAAAACTAACTCTATGAAAGGAACATTCTCAGAGACTTCCATCATGCCAGTTAATTTGAAAATAATCGAACAGGTTGTAGTGAATTTGCATTTACCATACTTGGTTATTTAGCTAACAGCACGACGCCACTAATGCTCTAAAACCTCTAAAATTATAAGCCAAGCTGTTCTTTTTTGCAAAATGTCCGGGAACAGCTGATTTTCTGAAGTGGATCTGAGGGGCTCCGTCTAAGTTCTTGGGCCTCACGCATGAACCTCGCCGGTGAGAAAATGCCCTAGGGCAGCAAGTTTCCACTAGAGCATCCTTTTGGATCAAGTTCAGTCGGTCTCATTTGCGGAAGGAGAGTAGTTGCAGAGGATCATTGGAACCTGGCTGGAGGGGGTCTTACATGGTCAGTCTCAGTGGCTCGTGCTTTGCTACAAAAAGTGAGAAATTCTGCCACTGTGCTCTCTGGTAATTGAGACCACAGGTCTAGATATGTTAGTGTATGTTCAGTCTAACGTCTCTCCTCTGCTTACCTGTGAAACTGTGGTTAGGGGCCCAAAGAGCAGTTTGGGTTTTAAAAGCAAACAGTGACCAATATACACGTTAAGGTGTATTTGGGCATACTTTACTCCAGATGGCCTACGGTTGGATTCTAGCTTTTGCTCGCTCACGATGAAGCATATGCAGTGACATAATGCCCCCATGCTTTTCTCACTGCTCACCAAATACTAAACTCTTACTTTAAAAGCTCTTCTAGTCTTCTTGCTTCTTAATGTTAACTTCCTGAACTGCAGCTCTTGGCTTAACTTTTTAAGGGGGTTATTGGTAATGTGATAATCTAACCTACCTTTATTTATTGCAGATGCGTGCCAGGCTTTTAATCTGCTTCCTGCGTTGAGGTCTTTAAACTGTTGTCTACCTTCCAGGTATCTTCATGTTTCTGCTTCCTCTCCCTCAGTTCCTTGTGCAATTGCAACATCCTACCGTTAATAACACTGAAAGCAGTAAAGTATCATTTATTCGAAGACGGCACACACTTCAAAGTGACTGATATTTCCTATCAAGAAGGTAGTTGCGGGGAGGGGGGCATCTTTTCAGAGTTTTAAATTTCCATTTTGAAGTAATATAGCCAGAATTTTGCTATATTCAACTGCAGACTCAAATCACAACCTTATTCCAAGTATCTGTTTTAGGATGCATATTAACCTTAAGGAAATGCTTTGAGACAACTAAAATGTAGTGTTTAAAATGAACCAATGGCCTGACTCATTCATGAGCAGAACAAGAAGCTCCCAGTGGATTTATAAGATGGAGGAATTATTATGCACTCATTATATTCTCATTATTCACCCCCCCTTCCCCTCCCTTCTGCTAAGCATCAATCAGTGGAGGGGCTCCATCTGTCCAGCAAATTACCCACCCGCCCATAGATCTATCTTTTCCTTTGCCATTTCTTTCTATAAGTGATTTGAAATGGCTGGCCGATGGAAAGAATACCATGGGCCTGATACCACAGGGAATGTAGCAATTAAGCTGAATGAACAGAATAGATTACACACTCACTATGACTTAGTATATGGTTACTTTGATTAGTTCAATGTAATGTAGAGAATTTTCTAAAAGACCAGATTAAAACAAGTAGAGGAAAAATAACTGGCCTTAATAGTTTATTCTCAAACATAACTTTTGTATTTTAGATTTTAGCATGCCATGAAAGTTAACATTAAGACATCATTCTAATACCTTGAATTTCTTAATCCTATTAATGTTTATTTCGTTTTTGAAAATAATATCTAGCAAGAGGCAAGTAGTTTAGTACTAAGAGAATGAGCTAGTAAGCAGAAGCAAATGGATACATTTACTCAGATTTTCAAAGATAAATTATCTTTATTCTTCCTAAGAAACTGTACTGTAACATTTGGCTAAAAGGTAATTTGGGGACACCTGGGTGGCTCAGTCGGTTGGGCGTCCAACTTCAGCTCAGGTCATGATCTCACAGTTTGTGAGTTCAAGCCCCGCATCAGGCTCTGTGCTGACAGCTCAGAGCCTGCAGCCTGCTTCGGATTCTGTGTCTCCCTCTCTCTCTGACCCTCCCGGCTCACATTCTCTTTCTCTATGGAAAATAAATAAACATTAAAAAAAAAAAAAAAGGTAATTTGAAAGTAGGAGAGAGCATGATGAATTAGACTGCAAGTTTATTTTATTCTGAGTTACACTGCATAAAAGGAAAAGTTCTGATCTATTTACTATTAGCTTAAAAATAATTATTAAAAGTTGTCTATCTGTGTGAGTACATAATTATGTATACACATGTACTTTCCCCCCTTTATTTTAGCTTATAGGAATCTCCCACTTATTTGGAAAAGAAAATGTCTTGTGCAAGCAACAAAGTGGACCCCTTGCTCCAGAACCTGTGGGATGGGAATATCTGATAGGGTGACCAATGAAAATAGCAACTGTGAAATGAGAAAAGAGAAAAGACTGTGTTATATCCAACCCTGTGACAGTAACATATCAAAGAGAATAAAGGTAAAATTTAATCAGATTTAGTTTCATTGTAATTCAATATTAAGAGACTCCTGAAAAGTACGTGTTTTAGAGGGATAGACAGTATGTGATTCTTGTAAAAATAAAATCACCTCATTGTAACTCTTAAAGTCAAACTATTTGGGAGGAAAGCAAGTATTAATCTAATTGCATTTCATGGGGGGAAATCTTACCAAGCAGGGAGGTACTGTTAGCCTGCTGATTCTAGATACTCTAGTAGCTTAACAGTGTGGGTCTTGATCAGCCTGATTTGTTGTGGTACACCCACTATGCATGCTTTTAAAAAGCAAATCCTTTTCAGAGTCTAACTTTTAAAAACTATGTTAATTTTATGTAGTGGAATCAAAGCAGTGGGTAAAAGATTTTGGTTGCTGTATCATAATGATAAGAACTGACATTATGAACATCAGAGTTCTGATCTTGGTTATAGATCACCAACTTGGAGGGAGAAACCACCATTTCCAAAATGCTCTGTGCTTATTAGATAGTAAACTTGCCAAAGGACTATGATAAAATATTTACCCCGGAACTGTTTGGTATAACTAGAGCTGGTCCTACTTCTAGAACAAGGCAAGATGACTGTCTCAAGAGTAAGTTTTGGAAATGCTACAAAACCTTTCTCATCCCCAAGTTATTCCCTACCATATTAAGAAGTTGACAACTCAGTTTTAAACGGATTAAGATATTTATTCATCCACTCAAAACTGAGTTTTGTTAGGGAATTTGCTAAGCCTTAGTGAAATAAACATCTAATAAGACGTGGCCCTTGATATTAAATAAGACAAATTTTCATTGTGGAAATTGTGGAAATGAAGGGTGGAGAGCAACAAAAACGGGGAGTGGGTCCTATGATGGAGCAAGAACAGGGAGGACAGACGGGGGTGGAATTCAAAGGTAGAAAAGAGAGTGCTGATTCACTAAGAAATATTAATGCCCTGGAAATAATTATACCTGTGTGTTTGTGCTATAAAAATGTTCTGTATACGGTTTCACTTTTCTAATGACTTCTTAATGTTATGTACCTTTTCAGATCCCTAAAGGAAAAACGTGCCAACCCACTTTCCAACTTCTCAAAGCTGAAAAATTCATCTTTTCTGGATGCTCAAGCACTCAGAGTTACAAACCCACTTTCTGTGGAGTATGCTTGGATAAGAGATGCTGTGTCCCTAACAAGTCTAAAATGATTACCATTCAATTTGATTGCCCAAATGAAGGGTCATTTAAATGGAAGATGCTGTGGATTACATCTTGTGTATGTCAAAGAAACTGCAGAGATCCAGGAGATACATTTTCGGAGCTCAAGATCCTATAAAACCAACTTTATATGGGAAAAGTTAAGTTTAGGTAATCATGTCATTACATCATAAAATTAGAATGGTTTTAAAGGGTGGCAAATCTACCTTATTGATTTAAAACAGTAAGAATGCCTACTTATTCTCAAATGACTGTATTTAAGGCAATAGAAGCTTTTAAAAAGGTTTGTTAAAAAAATACATGTAAAACTTAAAAACCTTAAAAGTGAACTCTTACTTTAAAATGTATAATTATGAAATACGCAGATACTTGGTTCCATCTACATATTCCATACATAATGGAAAATTATACAATTTACAAGAAAACATTTCATTCTATAATCTGGAATACTTTGTTGAAGATGTGTAAAAAGTTTAAAACTCTTAAAACTAGCCTTTAAAACTTTGTGTACTTTGACAATGTAGCCTAGGATCCAGTCAGATGATAATCATTACATGGTGAGCAAGATTCTAGGTTAATTCTTAAAAAGGAGTAAGATTAAACTGTAAATATATTTATAGCTTCCATTGCCCTATCCTGACTATGAGTTTATTAAGGTTTCTTTTGGAAGGAGAAAGTGGAACTTCGTTGGCCATTGTTAACAACTGTAGACAACTGTAATCTAAAAGTTTATATACCAAATAATGTAAAAAATTAAATTTCCAAGATAAAGATCTAAAGCAGTATCCTTACTTTGAAAAGGAAAGAAACTTAAGAATATAACACTAAAGAAAAGCACACAATGGATTATTCTGGCTTGAAAATTGTCCCTAAAAATTACTTCCTTAAATGACAAATCTATCTATGGACTTAACATATAAATTATTTTATTTAAAGATAAATTAATGTTAAAACCTAGAGCTGGAGATTATAGTAACGAGAACACTTTCACTAGACTATTACAGCCATTTGCTGCAAAGTTCAGAAGAAGGTATCAGGCTAAGTAACATTCTGTTTGCTTATATAAATGGTGACAAGCAAAACCAATAATAATACTGTTTAAAAATAAGGACATTTATTATTATAAAATCAACTGGTTTAATAAAAAGCATTATATTTAAAGATAATTTAATACAAATACATGTTAAAATAAATGTAAAAATTCTTTTCAGTGCAAACAGGTGGTTACCCAAACAAGAAACAAAACCTCCCTAATAGCTGTAATAAAACCTATCCCTGAAAAGTTAGTGGGTATTACACAGAAATATTTATATTGTGTTCTTCTATTACTCCTCGTACTCACTTTTAAAGAATCAGGAGAATTCAACCAAATAAATTATAAATTTATTTAACAGCTCTAGTTATACCACATAATTCCAGGGCTGAAAAAATAAATTATAAATAAATATATGAAAATCTGTGTAAGATTTTTATTGAAGACATGATTACCATTGTATGAATGCCTGAATATGAAACTCTAAATAAAGTAAAATGTTGAACTCTGTTTTCTCAATTTCAGAAAAAGGGAACTTTCTGAAGATAAATGTTTGAAGTTAAAGGTACTAGGACTTTCAGTAATGTCACACACTGGTATCGCCCATGAATTGTGATGAAAGGAAAACCACTCTTTTTTTTAAGGCAAAAATGCTTTCTAATATGAAAAGTGCAAACTAGACTTTCTGAATCACAAAAGTTCTGAAAACAGAAAGATAAAGTGACCAAAAAATGTGAAATTCAGAATAGTAAAAGTACTTTTGGGGTTCTGTTTTACACAGCTACGCGTAGTCTAGGTAAATCTTCCACAGGCATGCTTCGTGTGGCGTCCAGTTGGTTATATTCCTCTATGAGCGTGGATAAAGATGACACGGCTTCCATGAAACAGCTTTCCTCCATCCCTTCAATTTGTAGATAGTGATGAAGATGAGCCTACAAACAAAGGATAATGTTGACTATTTTCAGGAAACTTGATACAAATGTAACTATCCTAAGACATATTCTTTTTTTTTTTTTATGTTTATTTTTGAGAGAGAGAGAGACAGAGAGATAGCATGGGCAGGGAGGGGCAGAGAGAGAGGGAGACACAGAATCCAAAGCAGGCTCCAGGCTCTGCTCTGTAAGCACTGAGCCCAATGTGGGGCTCAAACCCATGAACTGTGAGATCATGACCTGAGCCAAAGTCAGACACTTAACTGACTGGGCCACCCAGGTGCCCCAAAACACAGATATACTTTATTAAAATAATAGTTCACTCAATTTTACGAGAGAAATGAGCACTCAAATCCTATAAACTCAGGAGATTTCTCATTTAGGTAGTCTGAGTACAATGAATACAGTAGTCAGGAGTGCCCCTGATTTGTAACAGTATAACTCACAAGAATACATCTTAAATAGCCCAAATAAAAACACATAGTTACAAAAGTGTACTGATAATTACCTTTTTCTTGTAGAGCCTCATGAATCGCTCTCTGAGTTCCATGAAGGTGGGCTTCACGCATGTGTTATTGGCTAGAGCTAATAATGAATGGGAATGCCCCACGGGAGGTACCGAACACAGGCTGGTTTTCCAGCCTTCTTGATTCCAGGAGATAAACTGTAGAGAAGGTTTTAATCTGAGATACAAAAACTCAAAGGTGAGAATGAAGGTAATGAAAACATCTGCCATATATGGCAATGGACATTACTAATGGTAATTACCATTCTAATTGCTTAATATATAACGTAAAGTTATCTACTTTTTACTATTTTTTTTTTTTTCAACGCTTACTTATTTTTCGGACAGAGAGAGACAGAGCATGAACGGGGGAGGGGAAGAGAGAGAGGGAGACACAGAATCGTAAATAGGCTCCAGGCTCTGAGCCATCAGCCCAGAGCCTGACGCGGGGCTCGAACTCCCGGACCGCGAGATCGTGACCTGGCTGAAGTCGGACGCTTAACCGACTGCGCCACCCAGGCGCCCCTACTTTTTACTATTAACAGTATCATGGTACAGTCTGACAGTGAACTAAGGGACATTTAGTTAGGAGGACATAAAATCTGGGGAAGAAAAAGAAATGAAAATATTGTGATTTTCTTTACTTTGTAATTCAATCGAGTAGTTTTCCTAAAAAACAGACGGTCAAAAAATAGTACAACATAAACTTAGAAGCAGCGAAGTGGTGGTGGTGGTAATAAAACAACAATAGTTAAATTTTCTGAACATTTTCAGAAAATAAGACATCTTAGAGCACCTGGGTGGCTCCGGCAGTTAAGCGTCCAACTTTGGCTGAGGTCATGATCACGCAATTTGTGAGTTGGAGCCCCGCATTGGGCTCTGCTGACAGCTCAGAGCCTGGAGCCTACTTTGCATTCTGTGTCTAGCCCTCTCTCTGCCCCTCCCCTGCTTGCGTGTGTGCGCGCGCTCTCTCAAAAATAAACATTAAATAAAAAAAGAAAATAAAACATCTCCTGTATCATTCACTATTCACAAATAACAATTTTGTACTATTATTCTTGTTTTACATTTCAAAAAAGTAAGGCCAAGAGGGGCTAAATAGTTTGCTCGAGGTCATGCTTTAGTTAAGTGGCAAATGCTAGAACTGGAAGACAGGCCATCTGAACTACCATGCTACATTGTCACAAGTGGTACACATAAATTATCAGGAAAATATAAAATCAAACCTTTCAATATTTCTGCGAAGATCTGAAACCTGTACATTTCCTCTAACCATAAGGGCACAGGCGAGGTAGAGGCTATGTTTGGGGTCAGCCCGAATTAGCTGGTGATCTTTACTAAAGGCATCTGAAAACATCTGATCCAACCTAGAACAATGAAAGAATCACTGTTTATACTAAATATTACTTCTATGTTTATACATACAAAATGCAGGGATCATCATCTACAGGTAAATACATACACAAATACATTCTAAATTTCAGCTATCATTTTCTCAAAGCAATCTTGATGAAAAATATGAAAAAAGAGGACATCTTTTATCCTTCATTTAAAGAGAGGAAGAAAAAGGTGCTAACAAGTTTATATCTAACAATTCACAGCATCCTAGGCCCTTCCTTAATATAGCCCCAGTCTGGTTCTCAAACCCCACTTGCCTCAATACAAATATGATTAGGTTCCTTAGATAACTCTAGCCAAGATTCTGTATGCGGAAACTGCAGACATGGAAAGTTAAAAAAAATCGCACTGTGCTACCTACTCATTCAGCAGTTATTTACCAAATGCCTATTATGTGCCAGGCACTATTTAACGTGCAAGAGACCCAGCAGTGAACAACAACAAAAACTTCCTACTCTTAATAGAGTTTACATTCTGTCTTGGTTATGTGACAGCAAGAACAGAAGTCTCCTTTAAGGAATGGTGAGTGCTATGGGGGATTCATAAATCTTTCGCTACTGTGTTAGAAATTTTGGTGTG